GTGTGATGGCAAACTTAAGACCGTTTTAAGATCTTCTTATCTTTGGGTAATGGGAAGTTCTTCACTGTTGCTGTGTTTCTTTATAAAATTTACTGTTACAGTCGCGAAGCTATACTCAATCTCTACTCTTGCGTCCACCTCTCGCACCCTGAAAACGGGAGCAACCGTTATGCAAGATGTGGTAAGCAACCCGTGTGTAGCCTTCGGTCACGGCTAAAAAAAAGGAAGATTCAGTTGAGGTACTCCGATTTATTTGATTTAAGGGTTCGCTGAAGCCTAATTACAGCAAGCTATATAATTGTGGACGAAAATTTCAACTAACTCGCCTAGCGAGGTTGAGCGTTGGTACCCGCCACGTAAAAACTAACGTTTCTGGAGAGAAAGAAGAGCTTAAAAAAAATACGGCGAAATACAGAAGGTTTCAAAAACGAAGCAGACTATTGTAGGACGCAAAGAGGTTTTGCGCGGCTTTTATGTGAAAGACTAAACCCACCGTCGATCAACCTCATTGAACCTTATCAGTGCGCTTTTAGACCTGGCTCATCAACCATTGACCAGATATTCTGAATGCTCCAAAGCACGAAAAGGAGCTGCTTTTTCAACGCTATGTCTGAATTTGATGTCACCGGAAATTTTATATACTCGTAGTAATGTAAACTGGCTTTGAACAATCCTCTATGTAGACCGTTTTGAATTCTACCCAACACTCATCTACTGACTTGACAATATGATTTGATACTGTTTTCGATTCCGTGATTCCCCCACTCAGGTCCGCCATGAAGGACCAATGTTTAAGTCACTAAGGACTTTGGCAAGCAGAGGAATGCCGCCACTAAGCAGTCGATCGGCTAACGAAATTTGGACCAAATCGGATATAGGAATTGGTACGTCATTGGACACACGGACATAGTTTGTAAAGACGGCAGTTACATAAAGTTTCGGTTAGTTTAAGCGGTCACTTATACAGTCATGTTCTTATCGAATTACAACAATAAGATTGAAAATATGCACAAATTTGCTAACTTTTCAAAATTTGCACCTGCAAGGCAGTCTTCGTGCTTTAATTTTGTAGCACACTGTACATAGTAATATTTAATAGTATTCAGTAGGAGAATTCGAGATCACACTACGTGACATTAAACAAAGAGTGCTCTCTCTTAATGAAGGAAGGGTGCTTAGAAACAGAGCCCTGTAAAGACAGCTATTGTGTCATTTACTACGAGGAATAAAATAAATATGAAAGGTATACGAATGGGCAATATCCTAATAGAATTCCATCTTTAAACCGAAGTATTTGGGGTAAGAATCATTAATAGTATACTCGTACAAGTAAAACAGATTGGTTTATCCCCAAGCTCTGTACTGAATTTAAATAATAATAGTAAAATCAATAATCACAAATGGAGCGATTGCCTGGTCAGGAAGAGCTAAGTTGAACTCGGTTTAAGAATTAAAACCCGGCTCAAAGATATTAAAATTTAGGAATGAATAAAAAGATAATTGGAATTGATATAGTAGGGATAAGACAATGGAAACAACTTATGGACAGTTACAACTATCGTCTATAAAAATATAATTATCAAAAAACTGTTTCGGACGTAGGTAGTAATTGTTGGTAGACCATCATATTAATCTATTTTTAATAGCCACACATAAGTTCCGCACGAGTACTTTTATCTGCAGTACGAATGATCGAACTCAGCCAGTCGGCCGGGTGGAATAGTTTGGCTGTACGTGATACACCTCCCTCTTGGAGTAGCTGTTAAAATGGGCTGAATATGGACATGAAAAGGATATAGAGCTGCGTTCGTTCTGATACTCAAAATCTATGTTACACTCAGGTTGTCATTGTCCATAAATTTTTTCCTTAGCTATTGCTTCATAGGTAGTCCATGAGAGGGAATCAATCTGCTTTCATCGACTTTATGAGTTCATCTCAAGCTTGAGTGTATGTTTTATCATAATATGCTTCAGCCAATATGTAATCCATATAAATATACTGCTTCAAAATTTATAGAAAGTGGCCAACGGGAGCTGATATTGCTTGCCAATATGAGACGTTGAATACTACCCGCACCTTGATAGTTTTGCTGTCTGGTTTGATGACCGCTTGACGAAACAGGCATTTTTCCTGAGCTCTTAATTTTTTCCTAATCTATATATTGCATTCAGCTTCGGCCTCTTAAGGAGTGATGCTGCGTTCCTTAGGAGTTAATGTTAAAGTATTATAGTATTATCCCAGTTTAACTTGGGTTGGAAATTCCATTGGTAATGACAGCACATCGTCCTTCTCCATCTATTGCTGTTGAGCATAATTGCAACACGCAGTTTAACTCCTCTTGGTTAATCGCTTTTTACGATTTAGATCATTCTCCAATTCCCAGAATCGCGTTTACTGCCCTCCTCCATGAGAAGCAAGAGCTTATTAAGTGTCGAGATTTAAAACCGCTCAGCTACAGATAAACAAAGTCATCAGCTGAAATATGCAATTCAACGAAATTTAGTAAGTTACTTATTAAGAGGGGTTAATATTGTATATTTCGTTATGGAAAGTGAGTCTGTCAAATCAAATATGCTGAAATAACAATTGAAATCGTGACATATACAGCGAAATGGTCTATATAGCTCGAAATTTGACTAAGTAGATTTTAAAAATAATGGTGTCAACTGTCGCGATAATAGGATGGGGACATTACTAAAAAGATCACTAATAACATTTCTCTACGGCCAGAAAGGGCGGGTAACTTTATAAGTTTTAAGCGACTATTGTACAATATTTGCAATATTTTGGCGGGAATTCCAATGGAAATGACACAAAGCAAACAACAACATAAACTGTATTTGAACGGAATTAAATTTATCGGAATGTACATTATAACTAGAATTCTACACCATTGGTTAATTATTTAGACCATTAAATATTTGATCTAGAATATATTTGTCTATTGTGTAAGCTTTCGATTGAATACATTTGAGTGAAAATAACATGGTTTTACATTTGTTAAGATTAAGTTGCGTATCATTGTTCTTACAGCAAATTACTTAGTTATTTAAATCGGTTTGTAAATAACATCATCCCGTTGATTTCGGTATATGGCTTGAAAAGCTTTACATCACCGGCATATTATGAAATTTTTAATTTTTTATGACTGACCCCAAATAATAAATAACAAGAACCGAATCGGACCCTGATGGCTACCTTGCGGAATGCCTGAGGTTACGTCAATTATGTTCCAAACGGTATTGTTACGATTTTGCCGAATCCGATGATTTTCTGAATCCTTCGGGTACGATCTCTGGATTGTTAAATAAAATATCGCCAACTTAATTTGTAGTTTCTTTCGTTATACAAAATTTCTCGAATGTCCTTTATTTACTCAGTAATTCACAATTCAATTACAATGCACTTTTCTTGTTATAATTACTTGTATAAACTTTCACAATCTACTTTACTTAAATGTAATTTTCAACACGTTAACTTAACGACTTTGCTGATGTTAACGCCAACGAGTTCACTTTGTAACTAACTCGACTTGGCAGCTGAGTGTCACCTTTATATAGCAGTCGGCGAACAACTCGATGATTCTACAATTTCGTCTGCGAGCAGCCGACTGCTATATAACGCCGAAACTGGAGATTACATTTTAGTAAAGTAAATTGTGAAAGTTGATGCTAGTGATTGTAAATAGTAAAGTGCATTATAATTGAATTTCGAGTTACTGAGAATATAAAGGACATTAGAATAATTCTTTATAACGAAAGAAACTGCAAATTAAGTTAGCGAGTTTTTTATTTAACAATCCAGAGATCGTACCCGAAAGATTCAGGAAATAATCGAGGTTGATTTAGCAAAATCGTAACAATATATAGTGATCGATAAAAGACACGGTTTCGACAGCAGAAATATACTGCGGAAACAAAACGTTAGTATCGGTTGCAGCAATCCCTGGTTTACGCTCAGCGATTTAAAATCGCCAAATCTTCTAATCTCCAATTGGGATTTACCAGCGAGCATTTGTTCTTTTAAGGTAATAATAAAGCTATTAAAAAAATGGTCTTTGAATTAAAAAAAAAAATTAAATAAAATAAAAAGAGCGTTCTAGAAATGCGTGCTAAAAATGGCAAGGTAGATATGAGCGGCGAGCATCTTAGAGGTACATGCGTAAAAAATGTCATCAAGGTGTATGATTTTGTGATGGTGTGGTGAGCTTTGATAATTGCCCACTTGGCCTGCATCCCGAAAGAAAAATGCTTAGTAGAAGTGTGAAAAGAATTTTCGAAAGGATTGTTCTAACTTCATAACATAAAAATATATATTGAGGAGTTCCCCTTTCTTTGAACTCAAAATTTCCTCGATATTCTTATATGAAATTTTAATTTTTGTTTTGTGAAAGAAAATTTTCAGAAATTTACCTTTATTGTGCTGACCACATATAAGTGCGAAATTTAAGATTTTAGTTTTTTTATTATCCTGACCACATATGAGTGCGAATATTGAGATTTTCGTTTTGAAGACAACTGTGAATTGTTATTTTCATTGAGATTGGTTGCTGCTGCACAGCTGCAATTTCCTGCGCAGAAGCTTTTTCACCGCCACGAGGATCACCAACCAAATTAAGTTAGTAATTTAATTGTTAATCATAACATTATAATTGTTTTTATCATTCTTGTTTCAAATGATTTCATATTTCCAATATTTAAAATTAATTGGAAGCAATTTCCCAGGGTAATGATCTCTAAGGTGTCTGAGAAAAGACCGTAGAAATTAGAATTAGAGTTTCTGAATGCTATAGAGTGGAATATTTGCATATGAAATGAGGAGTTCTTCCATAAGCTGAGTAGTATAGAGAAACAACTGGTTAGGTGCGAAGGCTTACGACGTGGTTGGCTTACTTACACTGAGTTGGGGCAAATGTTACCCTCCTTGGCATTAGCGAAGTTCATACTACATAATTTTGTTGTCAAGAGAGTTATTTCTGCCGCAAATGTGATTGCAATAGCTGGCTAGCCAAATAACTGGCACTTCACTACATCGCAAAGCTATATCAACCGCTATAAATGGCAAAGTTGAATTACAAACAACAACACCGCCATATTGGCTGATATTTATCGAGCTACACAATTGAATGCTCAACAACGCTTTAGACGTTCTAATAAGAGTGAAACAGTAAAACCACCACAAACTGTAGGCATGGATGATGAAAATGTATATAATTCTACTTGCACATTTTTAAATGTCGAGGCAGAACTTTTAAAGCTAGATAGTATAGAAAGGAAGCACAACGTGAAGCTGAACGTCTAATGTGCCCGATGCACGTGAGGCGTTCATAAATGCAACTGTAGATATATTTAATGTATCTAAAGTTGCACAAAATCTACCATCAGGCCAAACTGGTCAATTGATTACGCCGCGTAGTTTAGCAGTGTTACCAATATATCGGCATTACTCAAACATCTCGCTTTTCGTATGGGCACAAGCCCAAGACTCGATGATCGTGTCTATACTATGAATTGTATGAAACTATTGCCATTAGATCAGTTAATGAATTTTATTTACCCAGAATTTTATTTAAATCACTCTCTGTTTTATCCACAACCTAAATCGCAGGAAGAAGACGACGATGATGATCTATCGAAATTTTTGGATTGTGGCAATCTTATTATCTGATACGTTGGTCTTAATGCACCCGCAAGTGTTGAGTTGAGTTGAGTTGATGCGGATGCTGTCAGCAGCCTCCATGATTATAAAGAGTTCCGCCTGGAAAACGCTACAGTGGTCAGGTAGTCTCATGCACATATTTAAAGAAAGCAAGGGAGAATAAATTCCTTATCCCACTTTCCCATCAAGCTTCGAGCCATCTTTGTAAGATGACTATGGCTCCCTGGTGCTGCGAGTGTGCTGGAAGATAATCCGAAATCCAGAAATTCCTGATTAATGCCATAATTTACCAAATTTGGAAAGTACAACTAGTGCAACATAAAAAAAAATTATTTTCGATTTTATTGACGATAAACCATATGCGCCATTGATACAGATTATAAAGGACACAAGCCGCAATTTATTGAGAAATTACTTGATGATCGTAGTGAATCTAGTTTATCGTATTATGAATTTTTGCAAAAACCACAACAACAAAATCTAGAGCCGGTAAATTTGAGTCTCGTTTCTTCCTAATTTAACATCGTGGCGATTTTCAGACGGTCATATAATCTATGATTGTAGTGTACCGCTTTACGGAGTTGGTCTGTTTCAAGGAGCTGTTCCATTTCACGAAATATATTATTGTATATTACCCAACACAATCATATCGAATATGTATACGGTATGGGATGACAAATACAACAACGGGCTATACGCGTATATCTGCTAATGCTTTGTGCTATTTCTTAACTTGTCGTCACTGGCGTGTAGTGCTTTTCCAAACAAAAGCTGTGTATCGTCAATAAAAAGGTATGAGGATGCATGCATTCTTTTTATTTATTATTTTATGTTACTAAATACATAGTGGCAACTCTTACGAGTGCGAAGTGAAAGTGACCGTGCTCAATATTTATTTTCAATTTTTAAATCAAATATATTATGCAAACTATATAAATTTATTTAGGCAAGTGCCTCCTGTGAAACTGAACAAAGCCAAGTGAAAGTGAATCCATTTAAATAAGAAATTATGTTATTTGCCTGGATTGGCGGTCCATCAAAACTAAATAATAGAAAAAACAAACAAACAGAAAAACTATGAACAAATATTATAATAATAAAAAAAATATATAAAGCTCTGGTATTAAAGAAAGGCGCCCAAAAGTATGTAGAAAAATTTTAGTTTGCTTGTGCCTTTTCCAAATTAGAGTTGCCAAAAAGCTGAGTTGCAAAATCCCCTGGTTTTTTTGAGACTAAATTGGTCATTGAGCTAAAACGGGACTAAAACGGTCGCCACAACATGGAAACGTAAACCACACAGCCACCAGCAACAACAAGCGCCAGAACAATAGCACCAACAGCGAACACAATGATTGGAAAAAGAGTCTTCTGCTCTTGTGATTCCTTCTAGGACAACTTTACCAGCCCTTCATGGGCTCCATCGCTCATTACCCCAACTCCTCCAGCTCCTTCTAGAGTCGAAACGCGACACTTTTTGAAATAGCGCTGCAAAGTAAGCAGTAATTCAAACGGGAATAGATCGCTACAAAATTACCACAACTACGAGAGATAAAGACAAAATGAGCAATAATCAGTTTCAATTGCTTTCTGATGCTGATGATCAAGTGCGTATGCAAAAAACGATCAAGCCGCCACCAATTTATCTTAGAGAAGCGAACTCTAGTAACCTTGTCAACAAATTGATAGATCGAATTGGAAAAAATAACTTCCATTTTGTCCTAATTAAATAGGGAAATATCCAGGAAGTAAAAGTGCAAACCTACGGACAAGATAGCTGTCAGAATATCGCATATAATTTCGAAAAAGAAGAGAAGTCTCTCTATACCTTACAGCTCAAATGAAGTCGTAGCATAGCAGTCATCATAAAGGGCACTGTGTAAGTCCCTCGAAAATAGAAAGTGCCTCGAAAGAAGAACGTTTCAGGGTTAAAAACGTCTTCAACATTAAAAACAAGGCTAACATACCTCAGCCAATGCTTAGAGTTGACATTGATGTAGATTTCCAGCTCTTAAAAAAGGGAGAAGTTCATCCCATTTACAAACTGTGGTACCTTCTTGACCATCGTATTTCAGTGGAAGAACCACATAAGCGAACAGGTCACAAAGACATCCTTCACTCTACCTCAGTTCATATATACGATAATACTGGTGGAATAAACATTTTCACCGTATATTTTCCGCCCCGATACAATGGTCTTCAGGGTAAGGACAAGTCTGGCAACCAAAAAAAGATAACTTAGGGTAGGTTGGGAGAGGTTCTGGTCCCTGGCTTTTAAAAAAACTTCAGGATCTTCTAAAACAGAAAAAGGAAAACGAATTTCAAAAGTCCGTACAACCTCTGTCAGCTACTTCTGATACTAACTACTCTTTGTGGCGAAAAGTTAAGGGTTTCAAAAGTTCCGTCACTTGTGACCCTCTATTGAGAACTCACAATGGTTGGTGGGCTCGAAGCGACCAAGAAAAGGGTATCACATTTGCCATGCATCTTTCCACTGTATTTACTCTACATATTAGATAAAAATCTCTTCCAGAATTTCGTGCAGATGGAGATGACAATTTTATTTAATTTAATTTTAAATCACTTAAGGAAATTATTACTAACGTAATAAAGAAAAAGAAGGCTCCTGGATACGACAGGATAATGAGTGATATGATAAAAGAGCTCCCAAAAGTGGTAATTAAGCACATGCTTTGTGTATTTAATAGTGTATTGAGGCCAAGCTATTTTCCTAAGTCCCGGAAGTTTTCGGAGATTATTATGATCCCCAAACGAGGTAAAGATCCATCTTTGGTGGGCTCCTACCGACCTATTAGCTTAAATATGGTATTCTAAAAAATCTTCGAAAAACGTTTATTAAACTAAATATTACCGATTTTAGAATCGAAGCAGACCATACCATGCCACCATGCACAGCACAATATAGCAGGTGCATAGAATCGTAGAACACATAAGATCAGCGCTTGAAAACAAGCAATATTGTACTGCAGTGGTCCTCGTTGTTGCACAGACATTTGATGAAGTTTGGTTAGATGGTCTATTACACTTGCTGAAAGGTACGTTACCCGTAAAAATTTATGATGCCTTAGAAAGCTTTCTTATTGGCAGAAAATTTCGTGTTAGGCCTTTGCCTTACACCACTGAACCCAATGAAATATTTGCTGGTGTTCCACAAGGAAGTATTTTAACAGCCTTATTATGATTGCGAACGAAAGGTCTGACGAACGAATCGTCTCCGGACGATTTCGTACAGCATTGACATTCCCTTTATTGTTCCTCAACCCTTACGTTGCCTATGTAACAAAGAAATGTGATCATTCGCTTATTCCTTCTTCATATTTTCGTTCGTTGACATTTGTATTTGTTTGTTAACAATACGGTGTTTGTAAATGTTCAAAAAAAATATATACAAAATCAAAATGTATTCAGCAATTGTATACGTATTAAATGAACATTCAGATGAAGTGGAATTCAACATTCAAAGGCGAAATGTAAGGGATGCAACAAATGTGCTGGAACTGCTGGAGACTGAGTAAGTATTTTGTGAATTTATACCAGAGAAAAGTGTTTACTTTTCTAATATAGACATACGTTGGCTTTTGACGAGCTTTGGCTTACTGGGTGTCATAGGATGTGTCAACGGTACACATGTACGAGTTAAATCGCCCGGTTTCAACTGCGGGCATTTATACCATAACCGGAAGGGATTTTATAGTATAAATGTTATGGCAGTAAGTATATACATTAGTACATTCATATGTATTTGCGTACAATAATTTCCACATACATATCTAACTAAGAACAGCAATTATACGTCTTATAACACATCTTCTTTTCTTCTTCTGAATTCATGACCAAATTTAAGTGAAAATAAAATCAACTAAGTAAATGCAGAACAGAATTGAATTCAGAATTGAACTAAGCTGATAATTTTATTGAATTGCCAATTGAAATTGAAGATTATATTTGAATTGGGTTTAAATTAAAATTGAATTGAGAACTGAATTGTTATGAGAGTTTTTAAAAATTAAGAACTGAGAACCGACTTTAATTAAAATCTTCATTGAATTACAATTTAAATGGAGAATATAAATATATACTTACTGCCATAACATTTATACTATAAAATCCCTTCCGGTTATGGTATAAATGTCTGCAGTTGAAACCGGGCACATGTGTACCGTTGACACATCCTATGACACCCGGTAAGCCAAACATGGTGAAGAAGTGTTCTTTGACGCTGCTTTCTTCTTCCTGAGTTCTTGCGAAGCGCACCCATTTGTTGCAAAAATTGCTTTCGAAAATATCCGAGCACTCCGAGATTACCTTTACTATTGTTGATTGGTTCATCGCTGAAATATTTTCATTTCCAACTGATTTCTGATAGCTTCCGGAAGCAAGAAACCTGAGAAAAGTAGCCAACTTCAATTGGGGTGGCAGGTGAGTTTTTCGGAATGAGTGCCTCATATG